CTTAATAAATGAAATTATAAATTAGAAGTTTTGTTTCGCTTATTGTGTAACTTTTATTTGTTTTATACCACAACTTTACACATGTTCCGGCACCAGACATATAAGAAAAATACACAGAGTAAACTTCTTTATGATAAAGAAGGAAAAGCGCGGGAATCACTTACTGGAAGGTGAAATACTCAAGCCATATAACATCTCAACGTACTGACAACGTACCTATGGACTTTGAATATTTTGGTTGGTTAACAAACACCAATGTTTCAGAAAACTATAAATTGGTTAGGAACATAAAATCTGTCCCTAGCTTACGCGAGTAGTACGCCTTTAAAAAAACTTTAACGGTTTAAAACGTGATGTATTTAGTCAAACTTATTTCAAAATTATTGCTACGGCCCGACGTTTTGGATCACCGTCCACCGTCAACAGATAAAAAATCCGTTAAATTACTCGCGTTACAGTTTCTGTCTGTTATTTTTCGAATATCCAAGCCCAAAATAGATAAAAAATATATTTTTTAATAAAATTTTTAAGTTTAAAACGCTAAAATATTTCGTTTTGAAACATTATTTTTATTAATAAAAAGGACTAACAAGCGTCTATAGTTGTATGTCTATAGTTTAAAACCCCGAGTAGTACACATTTAAATAAAACAATTTAACGGTTTAAAACGCGATATATTATTAAACTTATTTGGAAATGTTTTTAGCTTCGGCCCGAGGGCGCGTTTCGAATCGGAGTTTTAAACCGTTAAAGTGTTTTATTTAAATATCCCCACCTTATAGCATCTAAAAAAGGTGGTGTACTACTCGCGAAAAATGTATTCTACACTGTCTATAGTTTACGGGAGCGAGTGGAAGTGACACATGCAGCAGCGTGGAATAAGCAGCAGCCGTGGTCACGGGACCACGGCTGCTGCAAAGCATCCGAACGCGTCGGGCCGAAGTTAAAAATCATGTCCAAATAATTTAAACTAATATATCGCGTTTTAAACCGTTAAAGTGTTTTATTTCAAAATATATTCAAGGTACGCCAAACAATAATATCCGGTAAGATTTTATTAATATACATAGCATTAGGCGTTTGGTGAAAAAAGGCAAGGCATGCAATTCCTACGTCGCAAATAAAATATTTACGAACCAGTCTAAAATCCAATTTGCAAATTCAGATTAAAAGCCTCAAACCGGCCTTGTCCCACACAGGCCCTGAACCCGGATACTTACAAAAGCTATAATATTATAAGTATACCGCCATTCAATTATTTTTTATGATCAGGTGAAACTCTGATAATGCCATCACGTACAGGGATAACGTAATTGGGTTACGATTTGGAAATGCGTTCAGGGAAGTATAGACTTTGTTCGTCGTACATATAGACCAATTTTCCATACACTGATTGGACATTTTTGAAGTAACTTTTTATGAAAAGCTTTAAATTTGCAAATATCTGTGTTTTTTACTTTTCTATACTTCAAATTTCAATTATTATGAACGGAACATTAAGTTTTTAAAATTGTATTCAATTTCTCTTTGCGTTTTCTTATTAGCATATCCGCCGTTTAACGAACTTTTCTCTCTTCTGGGTCGCCTATGCAATCAATCAAAGTCTTTCTTCTGCCTATGCAATACCACCGAGAATTAGCTGGCTCTGGTTGTTGTAGTGGTAAAGGCTGCCGAGCACGCGAGTTTGGAAGTAGGGGGTGCTCCCCCCCTCCCCTTATCTCGTCAAACAGCAGCGAGACAGTAAGAATGAATTAGAAGAATTCCTAGAATTTCATTGTAAAACGTCTACATTCCGTTTTCAAAATACAACTTGCAAGGCGACCGTATGTAACGTCAGTTGACGGAAACGGAAATGCTAACACAGCTATCCCGCAACCGGAAACTCCGCTTCTAACCATTTCCGATCCACGATTGCGGGATCTTGTTACAATGATAATAATTACTGTTGATGAGCAGTGACTAATTATTCAGTAATTTGCCATAATACATAACTTACATTTCAATGTAGTTTTGGTAATAGTCAAATAATATCGACAATCTCTTCAGTACAGTCAATACCCCCCTTTTTTATATATAGAGGAAGACTAGCGTGGGTTTTACTTGATGGGAGGTAAATTACCTTACCTATCTAACTAAGAACGCTGTAAACCTATTTTAGCTTCGGATATTCGGAAATCCGGAATTTTGCTAATAATGCCCATTTAATATCCAGATTTCCAGACGTAGACCAAGATGTTTCAGAAAAATTATAAATTGAAAAATTTGAAACATGTTCGACCCGGTGGGGATCGAGCCCGCGACCCGTTGATTATAGCCATACATTTCTACAATTAGACCAATGAGCCGTCGTTTATACAAAATATAACACTTCCAACCGTTGATTTGCGATATATCATTTGTCTGTTACGACTCTGTAGTTTTTATTAGAAATTTTAACGGCTTAAAAAGCGAAATATATTAGTTGCTGCTGCAAGACATCTGAAACGTCGGGCCTTTGTTGAAATAATTTGTAATCTAGTTATTAATATATTGTATGTTTTAATCCGTTAAAAGTGTTTTGATACTACGAACAACACTCAGAATGTTTAGGGCTTTCAGTGAAGCTTAGAAACTGCATAGGCGGGCAACAATTTCGTAGTTTTAAATTCCTTTATAACAAGATTAAATTCTTCCAACATCTCTATTTTCAGCGAATACTCAATATTGAATCTAAAATTAATCCTCCTTCGAAAGCAAATTAATTCATTCCCTATCACTAGTGCTATACCCAGGCGATACCCGAGATTGAACGTAAACACAGAGCAAGACGGCTTTTGTGAGCCGGTACTGGATATTACATTCACTATGCCTCAAACTGATTGGTTATTAGCAGAATATTCGATGCAATATGCATAAGAATGTTCTACCTTGTCAAATACCTCATCTCTTCGTGGATCCTATTTCTACGCGGTGCAGGGTTCAAATCTCAGGTTGGCCAAAATCAGTTGGATACAGTATAGTTTAGGAGTTTATGTCACTTTATAGGAGACCTCCGGTTACCCAGTGATGTGTGGCGAGTGGTGGCGAGTTTCTTGCAAGTTCTTTTCGTTCGTTGTTCCCGCTTGAATTAAGAATTGGTAGGAAATGTAAATATAGAGTTTGACAACCTTTTTTTTTTCATATGTTATTACACATGATGGCATTATATAAATTAAAAATTGAAAAACTTAACGACTCGGGCAGGAGTTGAACTGGCATCCTCAGCGTTCAGAGGAACAGCACGGACGCCGGTTCAAGTCCTGCCCGAGTCATATTTCTTTTCAGTTTATAATCGATTTTTAAATTAAGAGTTATTTCTTCACTAATATAGAAATGGTAGTTAAGTAAAGGCACCAGCTCACCCTGGAGCAGCAAAATGTATTTACTTATAAAGGGAAAATCTGGCTGAAAACATTTAATTCTCAATTTCATGAAATAAGGGGAATAAGAAAACAGCTTAATGTCGCAAAAAACTTTTATTACATTGCATTAAATACGCTAATCTCACAAAAATAAAACCGACATGCATTCGTGTAAGAAAGATGAAATTTAGTCTTTCTGTTCAATATTATCCAAACTTGGAAGATGTTTATAGACTCAATAATTGAGCCTAATAATTAAAAGATGTTTGTTTAACTTTTTTATAGTGGACGGTAGATGATATGCAATATTATTAACTTGTATTTTTAAATCCAAAGTTTGGTTTTTATTAGTTAGTTCTATAAAACGCCTTTTAGTACGAATGAAAAGAAACAATCTGTGCGTGGGAAACCGTGCAGAGAGAATTATAATAATTACAAAGCTGAATAAGTATCGAGTTACCTTTATAGATTATAAAAAAAGTAATTAGTACAGTGGCGATATAAAAATAACCGACAATATTTGCAAAATACTCTATTACAGTAATGTTTATAAGCAAAGCAACCTTACACAAATCAATACATACAAAATGACAGCAGTTTTGAAAAGAACGTTTCACATACTGCATTCGAATAAAACGCTTCCAACGTTCAAAACGTGAAACATATTTGTTAACTTATTTGTAGTGATGGTGTTGTTAATTCAAAGCATCCGAAGGTTAAATAGTATATTTCATTTAAATAAAACACTAACGATTTTTAACGCGATATATATTAGTTACGCTTATTAGAAAATTATTTTAACTACGACTCAATGTTACAGCAAATGCGAAGACACCGTTAGTCATTTATGCAAGGACCCGGCCAGTTTCGCCAAATACCAACTTCGTCGGAACAGATGGCGCTAGCGTAGCAGTCTTTTGCTTTGACGTGACCACGGCTGCGCAAAGCATCCGAAACGTCGGGCCGTAGTCAAAATAATTTTAACTAATATATATCGCGTTCTAAACCGTTGAAGTGTATTATTTAAATGTGTACTACTCGCGTTAACTTGAGACAGTGGTATATTTCAGGTTTTAAACGTTTAAAGGAATTTTTGTATTCGCGTCAACACACATCGTACCTTAAGTTAATTAGTGTACAGATCAGTCTTAATTTAATACAATCTTCACTACGAGATCATGAATAGTTCAGTATAAGAATTTTATTTATATAATACTATAGAAAAATTCACTTCGGAACAAACTTTTTAATTTTCTTACTTGAAAATTGACTATCAGTCATAAAAAGAATGTTGACTTTTAATTAGCTAAAGCGGTTTTCTAAAAGTTTCTAAAGAATTTCATAGTCTACAAGTTTCGTAAACATTACTATACAGTAGAAAATCCTATACCATATTTACAATTTTAATCTAGACTACTATATAAACACAATTATAACTAGACGTAATATTAATCTCTTTGACATCTATTTTAAAGCTTTAAAATTTTAGGCTTTTTAAAAATTCAATAATAACGTTCGCTGTAAAATTTCGATCATCGAATATCTCACGAATGAAAAGTGTTTCAATATTTGTAAAATTAAAATAACTGTGTCTTTACTGAATAATATTATACCGAGAAACTATACGTGTGTTCCAGCCGTTCCATTTCCTGAAAAAAAAAAACAAATCCTTTATCCTGTTATAATAGATTAGCTAGTACATACAAGGATTATGGATTAAGTCCTGTAAATTCCTAACGTACAATCCTTATTTTAATTAGTGTACTTAATTAAACATATAACATTGTATTTAATAGTAAAACCGTAATAGTATTATATATAAAAAAAATACAAAGGCTCTACAAAGGAATCTACGACCAACATAATGTAAAAAATCTCGTAAATTTAAACAATGACAGATAGCCGTATAGCGAACGGACTGACATACACTAATTTCAATGGGTTCGATTCTTGCTTGCATCACTTTTTTATCTTATAAAATGTTCCATTAATATAAGCATTCATATTGATCATTGATTAGGAAAATTGTAAATTAAAAATTATTAAAACCTAATACTTAGATCACTTTAAAATTTGGTACATTACCTTTGCCCAATTTAGACGTCTGCAGGCCTTGGCTCGTGGGCAGAATGTAATGGGCTGTCTGGGATTTAGGCACCTATAAACGAAATTTAATGTAAGATACATTAACGGTATTATCTCTTGTTTATGCTAGTAATACAAATTTAAATATATGAAGATTTATTAGTTAACTTACATTATTTAACATCGGGCCGTACGTGAAAATAAATTGTAAACAAGATAACTGATTTTAAAGTCTCAATTAATCAAGTAATTAAAGCTGAAGAGTTTCTTATAGTTGAACGACCAATCTTAGGAACAAGGATTAAAGAAAACGATTAAAAAACTAAAATAAACGTTTGTCGTCACCGGATATCTTTTTAAAATTAACTCAACGGGACCCGAACGAAGTCCAGTATGTTAACCGGTAAATTATAAATACTATAAATAATAAGAGGTTGTTTGCAAATATATTTTATGGTTGGCAAATTACCCCAGCCTATAGCATCTAAACAAGATATGCACATGCCGACCTATATTGGTTTTGGAAAATCGAAATACAAAGAGCTGAAACCGATAAGTATTAAGCTTCACGACTTTTTCACCAATGGACGGTGGTTCGTGACCCGGGTATACCTCCCATTTAACATCCAGGTTTCCAGACGAAGTCCAGCATGTTTCAGGAAAATTATAAATTGAGAACCTGTACCCATTACCTTGGATCATTAGCCTCACATTGCTAATATAGGTCCAACGAGCAATAAATGAGTCAAAACTCAAAAGCCCAAAAGCCTCACAGCTTCTTCATATGGTAAAACAATGTTTGTCAGGTCAACTAGTCCTCACTAATATTATAAATGCGAAAGTAACTCTGTCTGTCTGTTACTCTTTCACGCCAAAACTACTGAACGGATTTGAATGAAATTTGGTACACAGATGGTTTAGACCCTGAGAAAGAACATAGGCTATTTATTGCGAAAAGGAGGGGTTAAAAGGAGGGGTGAAATTTTGTATGGAAATTCGTGGTATTTGAAGATAGAACAATGAAACTTTCTTCTTTGGCTTTTTGGGAATAGGAATAGGAATAGGAGTGGGGGTGGGAGTGGGAGTTAGAGTAGAAGTGATGTGAGGTGAGAGTGTTGCGACAAAGTAGCACTTACAACATAGATTGGCTGCGATAAATGCACAATTACATAAATTAATAAATCGCCGAAATAATTAAAAATTCTACCCCAAGTCACTATTCCACGCGAATGAAGTCGCGGGCACAGCTAATAAATAATAGATTAATAATAATTTTGCCATTCCATATAATACTAAAATATAATATTTCCGTAGTTATAGGCGTCGAATCATTACCTCGCCACGGCAACTTCATTACCCTACTGAGTCACTTATCGCACGCCTTGACTCCTCAAGTGAGCGAGCTCCCGTTCTGATTCCACTATTTATAGGATAACGAGCTATTCCCCTATGTTGGGGTTACACTGGCTAAAAATATTCATGAAAGCTATACAAGTATATAACGCCGTTTCGAGTAGAGTGGCTGTTATATACGTAATTGGGGGCATGGGGTAACTGCTTCTTAACTTATACGAAAGTTTTGACAGGCAATGATAGCAATGTATGGCTAGTATAAGGTCGTGGATTCAATCCCCATTGGGTCCAACGTGTTATAAAGCAATTTATAATCTTTCTGAACTTCATCTGGAAATCTTGATATTAAAAGGGGGGTAGAAATATTGTCTATTTCGTCCAGATTACGAACCACCGTCAACAGATAAAAAATCTTAAAATGTAATTCTGTTTTCGGTTTCAGCTGTGGACTTCGAAAAATATATTTAATACGACGTTCTCTCCACGGTATATGCAAAATCTCTTTTATCATCCTAATTATAAAGAACCCCACGACAATGTACGTACGGACGGACAGAAAACCGCCCACACTCATTTGTTTATATTCGTTTTCAAAAAACTGCTTTTAGCCACCAACTAGGAACTTAGGGAACGAAACATGTATATTACTAAATTCTATAATTATATTGCAATGTACCATATTATTACATTATTCAAAGCTCAAAAATTGTGACTTTAAAATTGTAGTGTCACTTCAAGTGAAACTTTTTCACTTACTTGAGGTTGAGCGCTATCTGGAGCAGTCGAGACGCTCAACGACGGTGGTGGTGATACCGACAACCCTAAGTAATAAAAAAATATTACTAAAATATTAATAGTATAAGTATACAAAAAAAATATAACATCAAAATGCGAAGTTTGGATCTGGTCTACCCCGCAATTAAGTGTTCTCTATAATTTACGTAAGTAATCCACATTTAAATAAAACATTTTTAACGGTTTAAATCGCAAAATATAATCGTCAACTTTTTTTAAATTTTAATATGGTCCGACGTTTCGGATGCTTTACAGAAGCCATGGTAACGGAGGGACTGAAGGTAAAGTGTGTTCCTAATTTCAAAGTAAATTCTGCTATGTTAGCGCCATCTTTTATAACATTGGGCCGTTATATAAAATTTAAAAAAGAAATTACCTAATGTATTTAAGTGTTTAATTTATACATAGAAGGATTTGAGGAGTTTTAAAATACTGTTCTATGTGAAGTTCCATCTCACTCAACGTCAAAATATTTTACAAAAAAATAATTAAACATGAGCAGATGAAAACGAAAACAAATGAAGTCTGAATACTAGTTCTATTACCTGATTGTTGGTGAGCTAGACTCTTCAATGTGTAGTATGGTGGAGGAGCATTTTTAGATGTATTTGGTTGGGCATATGCTGAAACAATAAAACTTCTTTAATATAAAGAGGAGGGAAATTCTTATGGTTTAATCGGACACATTTTTACGTCCGTGTCACTTATGTCTTTTAGGCAACAATTTATTGGTTCTTTATTCTTGACAGGCTCGTAATCGATTTTTACATTTCAAACCCAGCTAAAATGAGACTTAAAGTTAATTGCGTATAATCTAAGCCTTTTAACAGTTCCCACAGCTGGGACTCACGAAATTTAACTTGTTTGACAAATTATCGTGATTTTTTTGGGAAGACCATACCGGTATTATATATTTTTAACGTACCTACAATTAGGTATCAAACTCCCAACCTCATTAAAGGAACATTGTGTTTCTCATTTATCGTAGAATACTTACAAAGACTTGCTCCGTTTCCAGTAAGATACGGATTTCCGTACGTAGCTGCGTAGCGGACGTCCACACCAGACATTATCACTCCAGGATTGGACATTGGTATTACTGAAGACAAAAATCTAGAATATATTTTAGGCCTAAGAAGATCAATTATGTACGATGTGACTTGTCGCTTTTCGCAATAACAATAATTCATTGAATTAAAATTGACTAGCTGAGTAAGCGACTTCGTCCGCTTAGAATAGTCTTGGGCAAAAATGTTTTTACAAACGACCCACGCCATCGGACGCGCCCCGTAGCTCGCTCATGAATCGGGGGGGGGGGGCCCCTTAAGAAAAACACACACCCTCGCGGCATTTTTTTTTTTGGTTTAAAAAAAAAACCTTTCTCTGGGACACCCCTTTTGTGTCCCTTGAACCTTTTTCGCAGCGTACGCCTCAGAAACCCATAATGATGAATATTTTTTTTCAATTTTTTTCTCATTTCTCGCTGTATCTTCGCTTGTATTGTCACAAGTCGATGTTTTATTGCCTATAGCCTCAATAAATGCTCTAATCAACACAAAAGTATTTTTTTCTTTTCGAACCCGTAGTTCCTGAGATTAGCGCGTTCAAACAAACAAACACTTCAACTTTTTATATAGATATATATAGATATAGATACGTGAACTATAGGCATTATAAAGTAAGTAGTTTATATAGTAATCATAGTTGCCATGTGCAAGACAGTGTCCCAATATTTTATAATAAATAATTAATAATACGAATATTTTTTAATTGTAAATTTTTTTTATAGCTAAACAAGCAAACTATTTAAACTTTAACAATACAAAAGCAAATGACAATTATATCAATAAAATATTTATTGAGTTGAAATCTATATAATAATTATAAATGAAAGTTTGTTTCATTAATACGTGAATCTCAGGATCTGTAGTTTAAATAAAAAGTGTTAGTAGAACATTTATCAAAGGCCCTTTGTTTGATACAGCTGCGACCAATATGAAAGTAGTCCAGGTGGGAAATATGGAAAAAAAAAGGAAAAATAAAAATTTTTTTGAGGACGACCGTTGCGTGCGCTGCGCAAACGGTTAAGTATGGTATATTGCAGTAAATAAGTATCAAAAACCGATTCCTCTTTCAGTCAATATATTAATATGTATTATTTATCTGTATATAATTCAGGTGAACAATTAATAATCACATTATAAATGATATGAAATATTAAGATACCAACGAATAGCTTAGACTAATATTTTGACAATACAAAAAATATATATTTAACAATATATTATATATTTTCTTCTAAAGAAACAATTCTGTTTGTTATCATAAAATGTTATTTTGAAACCTTACTATTATTATATGATTGATTATGATTTCTAAGTACAGACTTCTATGGACTTAAGCACAAAACTACTTACAATCTGGTCCCACCATCCCACTTAGTCTTCCAGAAGTCTGCTGCCGATGCAAAGACCCATAGTGACTCTGGTAGGTTATATCTGTGTTCCTTGATAGTGAACCGGTCTGTGGTTCGTTAGAAGGGGGGGCATAGTCCCGAGAATAGTCCACGTATGGTACATAACCATTCGCTTGGTTTTGGGTCTGTAAATAATTTCTATATTAGTAATATCCAATATAAAACATAGACATAACTTTCCATAGTGTGCAAGAAACAAGTCTACGAATATAATACTATTTACTCGTTACTTTAAACGGTTTAAAACGCGTCAAGTTTTTACTATACCCGGCGTTTCAATCTATAATAGCAACCTTGAGTCCTGCTATTCAAAATTATTGTCTACTATCGTTAACGTGAGTAGTTTATTGTAATATAATAGCCGTGGTCATGGGGGAGAGAAGATGGAGGTTCTTCCTCGTTTAAGTGTTTTATTTTAAATGTATTTAATATAATTACACCTAAATATAATAGAACTCCCTCCCATCCCTTCCCAAAGCTATGCTTTGATTTCTAAATTCAATTAATTTATACATGATTACCCATTACAAAGAATATACATTTTTTTTGCAATATTCTCTATTACAAAATTTGTACTGAAACCAGGTCATTCCCGTTTGTTTTAAACATCAAGTGGAATACAAAGCTGGCTTATCCCCACTATAATATGACGTCATATGTTAGCCAAATTTCACATACAGTATTTGTGCTAGTCACGACTGCCGCGTACTGGACAGTGATAGAGTTTTTGGTCATATGTTGTGGCCTAACATAGTTCGGTGTTTTGGTAACCCAATTCTGAAGGTTTCAGGAAGGCTTAAGAAAAGATATTTATTGAATATGTTGTTTAAAGTCTTAGTAATCTATACTAATATATTAAGCTGAAGAGTTTGTTTGTTTGAACGCGCTAATCTCGGAAACTACGGGTTTGAATTGAAAAATTATATTTTGTGTTGATTAGAGCATTGATCGAGGAAGGCTATTAAACATCGCCCTGTGAGTAATACATGCGAAGATACAGCGGGAAATATGAAAAAAATTGGGAAAAATTATTCATCATTATAGATTATCGAGGCATACGCTGTAAAAACGGGTCAATCTACCCAAAAAAAAATGTATGTAATAATAATTCCTCTTTAAATGATCTTAAAAAAAAACGGCCGCGGTGCTATATGTCTATCTTTTAAGATTAACTTAAGGAGGAACAGTGGTATTTGGGTTTGCAAAAACGAATTTGGATGCCCATAATAAATATTCTTAGCGGACGAAGTCGCTAGCACAGCTAGTAAGTATTAATAGTAAAATTAATTCGTCTTGTCTGAAATTTACACGGTGAACAATTTTAACATTTTCATATTATATTATTTAATTATAAATCGTTGATCGTAATAGGAACTTAATATACTTTAAACTTTTTGAAATATACAATTATTATGTATTGTCTGAATTTAACGCGCGAACTCATGTAAACACAGACCATTTTAAACAGTTACAACGGTTTAAAATGCGAAACATATTAAAATTGTCGACCTAGTTACAATTAATTAAACATAAGTTAACTAATATATTTTTATAAACCCTTAAGCTTTTTTATTTAAATTAAAATTATTCACAATCAAAGAAAAAAACCATATTTTATATATATTTTTACCTTGAACTGCAAGTTAGTAATGGGCTGATGGAAATCCCCACTGTATCGTTGGTACTGGCTCATAGGATCACCATCATAGCCTGATTCAGGTAGAGGCACGGGACCAGCAAGTGGTAAACCAAGGTTTGTAGTCAAATGTATTGTGGAACGTAGATCTGTTTCTGACTCCTGTGATGTATCCTGCAACGAAGGTAAATTAATAATCTTTACACCTTGAGTAAAAAAAAAAAAACCCCCCGCCCCCCCCCAATGGGGACCTAAGTTTTATTTAATACACTCGCGTAAACTAAACAGATATTAAAATCTATTAAAGTCGCAACAAAATGCGCTGTCGACTTATTTTGGGATTACATATTTGGAAATCCACAGCCCGATACCGAAACGCGATAACGGGTCGTGGACGGAGGTTCTTGACTCTGACGGAATTCATCCAATACTTCCCAGACAGAAGTCCAAAATTATAAAGAAATCGAAAACCATACAATTTAATAGAATATAAAAACAAACTTACCACGTCGCAACTACCCTCAATCTGTCGTAACTCCAACTTCAAGTCGCTGATATTTGAATTTCGATCGCTCTCCTTATATGGGCAATTTTTGCTTATGTCCGTTAAATCTGGTTTCTTTACGTCGCATTTATTACTCTTTTTATGACACAACATAATGATAAACATGATTAGGAGGACGACAACTGTCAAAGATGATGCCCCAGCTATGATCACCATGAGTGGAGAAGATTCTAGAAGAGAAAGAAAAAACACAGTGAAGTCTGTAGTTTATGCTATACATAAAAAAAACGCTTTTAACGGATGCAAATTCGAAATGTATTAGTTAAATTGTTTACATATTATTTCTCACCGTGACCATGCTGCAAGGCATCCGAAGTGTCGGGCCGCGGGAAATAATTTGTAAAGAAGTTTAACTAATACATTTCGAGTTTTAAACCGTACAAGTGTTGTATTAAAAAATAGTAAAGTACTAAAGCACTGTTACAGTGATATAAATTTCTTTACCTGATAAGTCAGCATTTTATAGTTATATACTCAGAAACTCTACCTTTAGTATTTATTGGTGTATATTGATGCTATAGAGGCTTAGTATATCTAACTCAAACTATACAAGTTTGGAAAAAAAACAGAAATTTTAATTTAGTCTTATTGAAATTCGAAGGTAGACGTACATAAGAGTTACATAAAAAAGGCGGTATACCCTCCTATAAGAGACTTTGCCCCTAAAAATGCAACATACTCGTCGTGATGTTAGTGTAAAGACTTACTGTCGGCAACCAGGTGGATCAGCATACTATCAGAGCCGTAGGAGTTGATCACAGTACAATTATAATTTCCAAAATGTTTTGCTTGACTGTCCCTTACAATGAGTGTTGATTTTGTCATACGATCAGCTAATGCTTCCTCAAGAAATACGTACTCCTAAGAAATAAAACTAGTATATTAATGCCAATATTAAATAAAAATATAAAATTAAGTGTTGTCTGTAGTTCACACATTAAAAACTTAACCATTTAAAACAAATTTTACAGTTTATTTTAACTACGGTCCGTTTCGACGCGGTAACATGATTTTGACAGTATAGACCCCTTGTTCTAACTTCAGTCCCCCCGTAACTATGGCTGCTGTAGAGCTCCCAAAACGAAGGGCCGACGTTAAAATAAATAAATTAACATATTTCGTATTTTAAACTGTTTCAAAGTGTTTTATTTAAAAATATAAAATTGTCTTATCGGTTCGTTAGTTAAAATAGGAAGATGAAACGTGATGGGTAAATTGAATTATTTTTATTTATAATCATTAATTTATTCGTAATAGTTTATTTGACTATTAATATAGATACAAAAAAGAGGTTATGTTTTTAAATAAAATTAATAATATCAATTTGATTTTATCCCAATAATTCGATAAGTCCAAAACCTTACCGGGTTTATCCTTGTTTTTCGGCTGACGTAAGCAAGAAGAGACTCCTCGATTGCTCGAAGAATTAATGGTTCGAGCATTGGAGGAGCTAACAACATCTCCTAATGCTACCTTTTCGCTCACGTCGGCCGAACAGCCCGAAAAACAATGATATGCTGAACGATGGCCGTGAAGGCCTAACACAATTTACTTACCTGGTTATGAAAAGAATTGATTTCGTTTCCCTCAAAAGCCCAAATAACTATATCTGGCTTCGGAACAGAAAACGATATACACTCGACTCTTATCGTATCTCCTTCTAGACCGTATTGTGTCTCATTTGACATTATCTTTGGTGGTCCTGAAATAAAACATTTATTTTTAATCTGTAGACAAAGATTTGAATCGACGATCTTCTTGATCAGCAAGGAAGAACTAATAATTATCAACACGTATGTCAATCCCCACCGGGTCCAACATATTTCCCGTCAATTTATAACCTTTCTGATACATGTCTGCAAATCTGGATATTAAATCGGGGGGTAGGAATATCTAAAATCCGCGTGGGTCACGAACTGCCGTGAGTTTTAGTCTGTGGTTTGAAAGACAAAATAGGTTGATCTTCTTTCATCAAAACAAGGGTATTCCGGGGTAAAGAAACCAATATGCTAATGCTGGAAAGAATTAGTTTCTTAGTACCTGATCAGGACATACACAAAAGGCATCGCCTAGGTCTTATACGAGTACCTTTTGCTAAAACGAATTTGTTAGGAAAAGCGTCCTAGACAAGAGCATTAGAGTTACTCAAGCAAAGACATTTTCTATGATGCATGGAGTGAGCTCGTGACGTGTTTACAGTTTATAATTTCCTATAGATTATGAAATAATAAACTAATACGTACTAATAGTAAACTATTGTTATTTAATATTACTTAATAGGTTATAAGTCAAAGTTTTATTGAATTGTATAGTTCTATGTTGGTTTTTAAGTTCAGTGTTGAATTAGGCTCCCATCTATCATGACATTGTAATTTTTATGATTAAATAAATAAATGTTTGTCATCCCCTATAGTAAAAATTCTTAGCATAATATTTTATTAATAACTTTTTACAGAAACGTCCTGCAAAGCTGGCGTAAAAATTCCACCTAGTTTACCTATGTGCTTTTGGCGTAAAAGTGCCTCAAATTAAACGCAAAGAAACTCAAAGTAATAAAGCTTTTGAGCTTAGCAACCTAATTTAAATAACCCAAACTTAAGAAAAAGTTTTAGTTAAATAATATTCCCTTGACAACATTTTTCAAATAACTTTTAATATAAATTTATAATTATATTGTACTTTATCGTCCTTTATTTAATTAATCTTGGAACCAGAATATTGTAAATTATATAATATCTATATGGAGGTAAATAATTGTTAAAACTCTATTTGCTTAAAAAAATATTGGTCGTATTTTTTTTTCAATTTAAGTTAGGATGGAATTCAAGCGTTCCGCGCTATTACCGTGTCCTATACGTCCTCGTCGAATTTCTTCAACATGCATCACTCGTAAATAATTGTTACCACTTATAACAACTTATGCAAGAACGCAACTTAAACTAACGCGAACTTTGCGATTTACTTTAAAAATTAATATAACTTCAGCGCGGCTACGCGAGGGCGTCACGGCATAAATCTAACTCCACTAGACTCCTAAACTAGAACCAGGTGAAAATCCACTGAAAGTTGCCAAGTGGTCGGTCGTTTGAAACCGTTTGAGTTAACGCTTACTCTCGCCTGGAAATTCGTCATGTTAAAGTGACGTCATTTAGGTAAATGTTAAAATTGGAATGGCGGCGATGTCAAAGGTTGCTAGGATACGTGTTATAAATATTTTAGTTTAATCGAGAATGGGAGTACGGCCGTATTTAGTATGAAATATAGCAAGAGACAGTAAATCTAAACCATATTTAAAATTAAGATGATAAATTTAATGTTTTTATGAGGTCTACTTGATGGTAGGTGAAATACCATAGTACACTAACTAGATTTGCTATCTATCTTTTTTTAACTTTGGATATTGGGAAATCCACAGACTGATACCGAAAAATAATGAAACCTGACGACGTTTTCATCTGCGGACTTTTTTATCAGTGGTTCGTGACCGATTACCCGACCCGGTCGTGAATTTCGGATATTCGTTACAGCCATTTAATATCCAGATTTCCAGACGTCCAAAATTTTGCGGAATATCTATAAAATGATTAAAAACATGTTGATCCGCTCAGGATCGAACCACTACCCGTTATTTACATTGCTACCATTCACCAACGCGGCTATCATCGATAATTGTAATACTCATTTGAGGCCATAAGTGAACAGCTAATGGAACCCGAGAATATAAGCAATCGAACATATTCTTATATGTCATTATTTGTCATATAATTATTATGATTAATACAAAATTACATTAACAAATTAAATTTTAATTTAATTTAATTAAAAACAATATCGTAATTGTTTTATCGATACTATAGATGTTAAAATTAAACCAAATACAAAAATGTTTGATGCTTCCGCATAATACCTTTCATATACACCATAGCTGCAGCTTCGATGTCCTTCCGTCCATCTATACTGGCTCTGCACCAGTATTGGCCTGCCGAATGCTTATTTACAGTCAAGGTGAGATTAGCTGACTTTCCTACTATCTAAAAAAATGATTTAAGGGATTAAATTCTGCCTAGTTGTCTGTGCAAACATACATAAGTGTAATTGTTTAAAAGCCTTTTTTTGTAGTTTTTTTACTTACAATAACCCTGTCCCTTTCATATCGCAACCATAATGTCTTGGGGTGAGGGTGACCGTCGACAAGGCACGATAAACTTGTGGTGGACCCAGCATCGCCCTCTACGCTTTGTGGTTTTCGTTTGAAAGAGGGCCCGTCTGTAATGTATATATCGCTATAGCCTTAAGTTTAGATAAGCAAATGGAATCTTGTGGTATTGATTCAAAAATATCTTTTTTTTTCTTTTTTTATATAGAATATATATAGTTTACGCGAGTAGAACTTTTTTGAAAATTACGTCCGTCGTTGACTCCCTGTGACCACGGCAGCTGCAAAGAATCCGAAACGTCGGGCCGTAGTTTAACTTATATATATATATATATGCTGGAATGAAGATCACAGCTGGTTGGTTGTTTTTTGTGAAAAATATCCAATCAGACGCAATTTGTATATTAAAATTTGTCTAAATATATTTATGTAATGCACAGTAGCTGTGCTCACGATGGGACCTACAAAGCATTCGAAACATTGGGTCGAGTAATAATAAATAAACTAATATATTTCACGTTTTGAACCAATAATGTGTTGTGTTAAATATTTAATGTTTGATTGAATTTAATGTGATGTACGCTTTGAATTTAATATATTTATGAATGTTATTAGTATTTTTAGAAGCAATAACATCAGCAATAAGAACATACAAGGTTTCCCGAACGTAATAATTGCCCAAAATACTCTTATTCAAGCGCCTACTTGTAACGAGATTTAAATAAAAAAGAAAAAGTATAATCGCATAATTATATTCTCCAGTTTTATACTTTAACAAAGAACCTTGTAATTTTCAACTTATTTTCTGCTCGACCTTTCATTTAAATTGCTTTTAATTTTTTTTTAATTTTCAACATTCTCAAAGTTTTTTATTTGGAAATTAAATTAACTTCTGTATAACCAATTTACTCTTTGACGTTTTTAATTTAGTATAACAATGTCTGCAGTTCACGCCATTAGAATATTTTTAAATAAAACAATTTTAACGGTTTAAAACGCGAAATTAATAAGTTAGTAAGTAGTAGGAAGACCCGGCTACTACAGACGAAAATGACGCTATACGCTAGCGATACGTTTTAAACGCGATACCTATATATTGGATAAACTTATTTCAACTACGGCCCGTCGTTTTGGATGCTTTGCAGCAGCCGTAGCCACGGGGAGACTCTTTAGTCTTAGATGGAGGGTATCTCTCACGTCAAAGTAAAGAACTGCTACACGAGCGCCATCTGTTCCACAAGTTGGTATTCGGCGAAACTGGCCGGCTCCTTGTAGAATTGACTAACGGTGTCCTCGCGTTTGTTTTTGTTTCAAATAAGTTTAACAAAGATATATCGCGTTGTAACCATTACAGTGTTTTATTTGAATATTTACTAGTCATTAATAAGACAATTCTGTACTTACATGCAACCTCCAAAACTTTAGTATCGGCGCTCTTCCCAACTTCATTATAAACTTCGCACTTAATAGTTGCACTGTTATACGATCTGGTTATATTCGATATTATCTGTAACAATAAAAATAAATATTTAAGATAAAGATTGATAACGGTAATTTATAGGCAAATGTATGTAAAAAATGTATTTAAGATATATAGTAAGTTAATGTGGTATAATCTAAATTATAGTTCGTTTGACAGCCCTACTTCTAGTAGGTACACAAAGAACGAAACCCTATTACTGACAAATGCTTACATTTCTTATTAAAATAAACTCCTCGCTTCTTATTAAATTACTTATACAAAGGTTTCTTGAAAAGTAAACATAAATGTATGTACTTAAAAGATACTCAAAGCAATCTATAATGTAAGATAGTTTCTACGTGTGTCAGGCGTTCGAACCCGGTTTGGGCAAAATATAATCTACTAGCTGTGCCAGCGACTTCGTCCGCATAATTATTTTGGGCATCTAAATTTGTCCTCCAAACTTCCTCATCTTTATAACTCTATAGCTGTTACCTATGACGTCGTCCGCGTCCCGACGTTCTTGCGAGTTAGTCTTAAAAGATAGGTTCATACTATTGCAAATCTTGTGGATATTTATTTTTGATAATTTAAAGAGAAATCATTCGTAGCACGCGCAACGGAAATGCTAAAAGATTAGGTAATATTTTTTTACATCGCCTCTTGGTAACATCGTGATGTTTTATAGCCTAAAGCCTTCCACGATAAATGTTCGAACCAAAACAAAAATAATTTTCAATTCGAACCAGTCAGTAGTTCTTGAGATTAGCGCGTTTATACAAACCCTGCATCTTTATAATATTAGTATATATATAGACATCTCCACAAGTTAGTCTGTTATTCGCATGAATTATTTGAAACATTTTCTGATGCAACATGCACATTGCAGATATTTTTCTGAGCCAAGAATATAAAAATATCCCTTTTGAGACGTTTCGAAACTCTCAAGAAAATTAGCATCGTAAATGTACTGGGTTTATGGTTTTTAATAGCTTTGAGGCTTCTTTACAATTCTAGAAGGCGAACGCAAGTATTCTATTGTTTGTGTATCATTTGTTTTATAACTCCACAGCTTAATTCAAAGAGGTCGAACTGGCTACATACTAGCCAAATGCATTGGTAGATTTTAATGATAGTGGTGGACAGATAAGCAGCCATATAACATCTCAATGAAGATGCGGTATCGACCTATTTTTAAACTGAAACGAAAAACGATTAACTTTCATCTGTGGACGGTGGTTCGTGAGCCGGACGGAATATCAATATTCTTACCACCAGTTTGATATCTAGATTTCCAGATGCAGTCCAAAATGTTTCTGAAAAGTTAAGATTAGAAACATTTTGGACCCGGTGGGGAATCGAACCCACTATCCGTTCATTAATAACCGTACATTGACCCTTAGACCCCTCAAGATGAGACGAGTCGTCGCATTTTTGCGTCTACGATATCCCGGTTGCCTAGCGTGGTTTACTGTATGGAGAGCATATCAGAATGTAGTAAGATAATGTTAGTGCATAAATGGAGTTCGAATTCCTGACCTTGCTAATTCTATTTCATTGACAGAGCTAAACATATTACTTACCAGTTCGTTTCCATATGTTCCGATTACATGTTCACTGTTGACGTACCATTTAAATGATAAATTATTCGGATTTGCTGATGCTTGACAACCTAAAATAAAACATTAGTTAATGTTCAAATTGTTAATATAAATTGTTAATATAAAGCAGCTAGAGGCAGAGTAGCCTATGTAATTTTACGACTTGACTTATTTATAGCAAATCAATAACATTTTTAGACTATGAAAGTCTAAAAATGTTTATCTACAAGAGTACATTGACTGAAAACAAATAATCGTTCAAATTCATTTTCGCCCTTTATTATTTATTTAGGTATGAGTTATTTGCGCATTTTATTTTCTTCCTTATTGACAATCGTTTTTTTTTTTTTTTAAGCCACTCTGCCTCTAGCAGCCTCATATATATTTAATATGAAACAACTTTAAGAAGTAAACGCTTTCATACAAACTAGATACTATATTCTTTATGTCTGAATTTACTGTAAGATATATTTAAAAAATATATACACTTCTGAGGTGATTTTAATTTGAGATCTTATCTAAATTTAACTTTAAAAATTATAAATATTTTGTTCTAAAGTAAACACTAACAATATTCTATATTGCTATGTTAAAGGCTATTAGTTATATTAGTATTTTATGCCTCTCGGTTCATACACAAGAAATAAATGACTGAATTTTCAAAGAATAATTTTAATCATAGTAGTGTACAAATATATATCGCCAAAACGCTAGATGGCGCTCCTTCCGTAGAACTTAATTTAAAATATTTTTACGATAAAATTCTCTGTACTCTGCGTTTAAAAAATAGAGACAATTTTTATTATACAGAGTGCCTACAGATTAAGTTTGTCAAAGAACATATATGAACATCTCAAAAAAGGTTAAAGCCAAACCGCTGTTTGAAAATGACACCACGCAATTCGCAGTCATCAATTATTGTCAAACTACAGTCTGATGATTTTAAAATAATAAAGAAGATTCCTTGTACTTAAATTACTCAGCCGATTTTAATGACATTTTGCAAATATGCTCGGAACTTCGCAAGCCATTTTATTAAAATGAAAGTGATAAATCTGACGGCACACTGTTTCTTCTATATATACCATATATCAATGTATATATCATATATTATAACAAACCGAATACAACTGCATCTCCTTCGTGCATCTTTCCGCTAGTAGATCCGGGTTTAACATAAATTTTAACTCTGGGCGCATATTGGACCTGAAACAAACACGTCCCTTTAATTAGCTTCAAAATTGTGTAATGGTTAACAGATACTATACTTTGTCTTATATATGATGACATGTCTTATATTTGACAATTGAAATCGTGTATTTTGTTAGGTGTATATATAATCTATGGTTATTTATCCTAGTGTAATCTGTAGCCTGAGCTACCCTCTATAGAAGGTACGTATTAAAAATATTACGTATTAAAAGTATTTAAAAAATATATACTTGGCATCGTCTTCATAATTATTTAAGAAAAATAATTATTGAATTCTGTTTAACTAAATCAAAATACGTATTTTTTGCTTGGTAATTTTACTGTTTACAGTCGGTTACTTATTTTTTTGTTAAAAATCTTTTTTTTTGTAAAACTCATCAAACCAGGCTATTCCAAAAATAAGACAAACAGACAGGTCTAAAACCATGTCACAGTGTCGGAAATATGTCACTTTCATATAACAAATACCGTTCTCACAGTCCACTGACTAATAGACAAGAATATTCTTATTACTCGGGTGTTCCTTGATAAAAGTTAATCTTATTACCCATTTTTTTAATAATTTAACGACTGTACGAGACGGTTAGATCATCCTTGTTGAACTCTGGATAGACATCTCTCATCAATATAAATAAGTTTAAACACAAGGGTAGCTACAGTTAAGCATGCAAGAAATTTCCTCAAATGTCCAAAAGTGGTGCAGGAACGTAAAAAAACCATCATCATCATAAAACAATGTCGTTTTTTATGTCCCTGTGTACGCTTACATCTTCAAAAATACGCAATGGATTTGGATGCGATATTTTAGTTAATGGATATAGAGTGATTCAAGAGGAAGGTTTTTCTATTCAACATTCACAGTTATTCTTGTGTATTTAGTATCACCACGAAGGTGCACATAGTATAATATTAGAATCGAATTGAGAGCCTACTTTTTCGACGCTAGTCAAACATTTGGAATTCAGAAGTAACTTATAATGAGAAATTAAACTACCCTCTATGGCTAACAAATGTAACGTGTTTCATTAAATTAAGTTAAATAGTCGGGATACCTGGTGAAAATTAAACTAAATTAAACTACCTCCACGACTATGTTAGTCACGCGTAGTTCCTGAACAAGTTAGCTGAAGTAGACATTACTCACGTACTAATGTAATAGATATATAATGTACGAGAATATTTCAATTACTGTTCAACATTCTGTTTATGTTGCTGGGTTTGGATATTTGGAAAACAACATACTAAAATGCGATTAAACTTCACGGCTTTTCATATATTTTTTATTAGCTGTGCCAGCGACTTCGTCCGCGTGAATCGTTATTTTGGGTATCCGCAAATTAGTTTTTGCAAACCCCTTTATAAACTTAAGCTGTTAGCCACGACGTCAATCGCGTCCCTTCCCGTCGTTCTTGCAAGTTAACCTTAAAAGATAGACATATAGCGTCGCGGACTTTTTTTTAGATAATTTAAATAGGAATCATTCTTTCACAAACATTTTCTTAAACCGTTTTCGCAGCGTACGCATCTGAAACCCACAGAAATGGAAAAATTCCCCCGTTTTGTTCACATTTCCAGCTGTTGAATCGCTTCTATTAGTCACAGCACAATGTTTTATAGCAGAGACTTCCTCGATAAATGCTCTAATAATTTTTCAATTCCAACCCGTAGTTCCTGAGAATAGCGCTTCAAACAAACAAACTCTTCAGCTTTATATATTAGTATATATAGATGATAGGACAGATAAGCATAGGATTTATTGATGGAAGGTGAAGTACCCCTCCCATATAACATCTAAACAAGATGTGTGTCGGCTATTTGTTTTAGATTCGGAAATCCTGACTGGGATAAAATTGATTAAACTTAGGTATTGATTTCTTACCACCATTTGATAACTAGATTTAGACGAAGTCCGACATGTTTCATATAACTTATAAATTAGTAGAGATATATTTACGTGGGAATGAACCCAGACTGACTTGTTGAGTAGTTTAAACCGTTATAAATAATTAGTTTTCATAGTTTACGCGATACACTGTTGCTGTAAAGCATCCGAAACGTCGATTCGTAAAAATAAATTATTAGTCAATTTCATTCATTTAAGTAATATATTTCACGTTTTAAACCGTTTAATGTTTATTGAGCGTTAAAATATTTATTTGTGTACTCGCGTAAGCAACGGATAATATCTCAGTTCAAAATACAATAGAAATTAGATACCCTAACTGAACTAGGTTGAAATGTAAGGAGTTAAAATAGTTAATTCGATTTAAACTTCAACTGTACATTCGAAAACGTAGATTTCAACGGCCCGAACTTTTTAACTTAATTATGTGAGGGTAGAGTGTAATAAAATGTTCGCGATTTTATTACTTTATGGTTAGTGTATTGTCGTTGAGATTTTGTAATACATAATTTTATTAGGGCAATGGTAACCAATAATATTATTCTCTTTGGTCTTTATCAGTAGTAATGTAAAGATCAATAGGTCGTTTGTTTGAACGCGCTAATCTCAGGCACTACTTGGTTTGCATTGAGAAAAATATGAGAATAGAGAGAAGGAAATAGGGTTTAGAAAAAAACGTCAAAACTATAAAGCTAAGGAAATTTTTTGCAAGAAGATGTTGCCCAAAATATAATTATAGAATAGTTAACGCACTAGCTAGTTGCTAAAAATGAAAATACAATTATGTTTATCTGTACAAGGACATCTTGTCAATTAGGCTTTCGTCTTCCCCCTTCCAAACTTTCTCGGTCTTTGCTTAGAAAGAGTTGCCACCTGTTTCCTCTCTAAATATGAACTTTGGGAAAACAGGTGGCGCTAGCGTAGCTGTTGACTTTGACATTAAGCACCCCACTCACTTCATCGACCATAGCTGCTGCAAAGCATCCGAAATGTCCGACCGTAGTTATACTAAAACACGTTAACGTTTAATGTTTTAAACCGTTAAAAGTGTTTTATTGAAATACATATGTCTATATTCGGAAATTCACAGCCACACACTGAAACCAAAAGTGTTCCTGTTTCCATATATATGTAACTATGGCCCGGACTTCGTCTAGCAGGATTAACTAAATGCTGTCTATCATTATGTTATATTTATGGCAGGAGCAGATAGCTGGAAGTAGGTTTTAGTCTCTATATTAGTTTTGAATTCATATTTTGGACAGCTCACACAATATTTTTATAAATTGTAGCCTATGTGTTATTCTGATGTATAAGCTATATTATTGGAAAGTTTAATTGAAATTCATTCAGTAGTTTTCGCGTGAAAGAGTAACAAACATCCATCTACACTTACAAACTTTCACGTTTATAATATTACTAGGATTTTCTCGATGCGTTTATTTTGTCATAGTGTAAAGTTTATCTTGAGAGAGATATGTCGAATCGTGCATGCTAACACGGCTGGTTAAAACTTCACTTTACTTTGTATGTATCTATACATCGTGTACGCTTTTTGTGACGGCTTTACACTCGGCTTTAAACTAATCCACTTTAGATGGCTTCGTCTAGACTCGTGGTATTCATTTTAGTGATTATCGCTGGAAAACGTTTAAAAGGGTGACGTTTTTACCCTTCATTTATATTCAAGCCTTCTTACAACCCTTCCCAGAAATTAGTTTCTTTTTTCATAGAAAATCTTACGTCAAAATTACATGGTTTTAGTCTTGCGTGTAATATTTAACAAGGAAACTAAACAGAACTGTTATGACAAAACTAATATAATAACATTACTTATAGGCTATCAAAACAATAGTAAGTATTAAATAAATATAACTAAATCTAAATACATACTAATATTATTAAGCTGAAGAGTTTGTTTGTTTGAACGCGCTAATCCTAAGAACTACTGGATCAATTTAAAAAAAAAAAAAAAAAAAAAAAAAAAAAAAAAAAAAAAAAAAAAAAAAAAAAAAAGGGGAGGGAAAAAAAAAAAAAAGAAGGAAAAAAAAAAAAAAAAAAAAAAAAAAAAAAAAAAAAAAAAAAATTTTCCCCCCCCCTTTTTAAAACCCCGAGGCCGGGGGCGGGAAAAAGGGGAAAAAAGGGGCAAAAATAAACCGTTAAAGTGTTTTATTTAAATAAGTTAGCGAATACAATTTGTGTTTCAAACCGTTGAGTGTTTTATTAATTGTTTACTCGCGTAAACTGCAGACATAAGAATATAAATTTTACATATATAGGACTAAAAACCTTCTCGTCTTATACGAAGCAATGGACATTCAAACTTTTATGGTTTTGATTAATCATCAGGGATGGCTCACGCAGTCTGCACACGAAAAGGCGAATTAGCCGACCCTAGTTTAGTGCCTATAAAACCCTACATCACGCCAACTTGGATATTATGTATACAGGATGGAAGTGTTTAATGTTCCTCCGGTACTTCTATTAAGAGATAACTGTAAAACATTAAAACAAATTAACTTACAAATATTTTTAATGATGGGGGAAGACAAACACGGGTTTTACTCTAATAACTTGTTGAAGAAGTATTTCGTTTACAGATAAAACACGAAAAAATAATATATAATGGAGGACAGACAACGGGTGTTCACTCATATAATGAAACTAGATTTGTCAGCGACTTCGTCTGCGTAGAATAGGAGTTATATTCATCGAAATTTGTTTTTGCCAATCTCCGTTTCATCCTTATAAATTTAAGCTATCACCCATTATGTCGGGCGCATCCCGTTGCAAGTTAATCTTAAAAGATATAATTTAAAAATCGAAAATAAATTGAAAAAATTTTCGACTCGGGAGGACTTGAACGCATCGTCAGCTTTCCGTGCTTTTCTACAATTGAGCTGATTACACCTCATTCGAATTTTTCCAATAATCACCTCTCAAAATATTAATATTTTCAAACTTATAACTTTTAATTTATTTAATATTTTTAAGCTGCAAAGATAAACATTGAACCTTATACAAGTGTTAAGGTTGAAATTAATGCGAGAGTGCATGTATCAATAAGTTGAAAAATTAATAGTTAGGACTA